CCAGTGTTGGGCTTTACATGCTCTACAAAATGCAAAAAAGAATGGGTCTCTAGCATTAACGGTTCCCGAATTAGAGACAGTTTTCAGTTTCGGTATCTTATGGCCGCTACTCCTGTGAAAATGCACCGATTGACCCCAAATTCACGGAGATGAAAGATGACCTGAAGGGTAACACTTTCCAATAATATTATTGGTTAAGTCTGTGTGGTGTCTGAATAACAGGGCAAAAAATTTTTTTTTCGTAAAAAATTTCATTTTTTTGAAAATTTTGGCCCATTTGACCTTGAAGTAAAGGTCAAAGGTCAAATCCGAGGGTATATTTGAAATCTACACATATGACTTTTGGAAAGCCGTCTGTAGAAATTTTTCCCGTAACTCCTTCCGTAGGGTAGATAATTAGCATTTAATTTTGCCATTTTTGGACAAGGGTGCATTGCAATGAGTGCCACACCCAGACCCCAATACCGACAAAGCCCAAATTTTACGTGGAACGAGTTGAGATTATAGGTGACCTAAATCCATGAGATGGGTTTGGGGAGCCTTACCGTCTAGGAGGAGAAGCGGTGACGGTAGCCGTCCGGCGGAGCCGGCGGAGCCGGCGGAACGATCCGGACGAGACCGAAACCATGTGTACCGCCAGCGCTAACGCTGGTGGTACAATTATATCATGACTAATTTTAAATTTTTAAATCTACTGACAAATAATCCTAATGCACATCATTGCAGTTTAAAATTCACAGCTTGACTGAACATCAATTCATTCAAACAAACAGCATATTTTCCATAAAAATGCATCTTACGTTTCCCCTGGAGTAATTAAACCACTTTTATCCACATCTTCCTCTTCTTCGCTCTCTTCTTCTGAGGATTCTTCTTCCTCTGACTCAGACTCTAATTCACCCCAGTACGACCTATCTATGTCCTCTTCTTGCACAGGGTCCTTTTCAACATACAATACAATTTCATTTTTTGTCCCTATTAGCAATCGTTGGTATGAAAAACTTTCTACAGGTTACAAAATAGATGCTGTTAATATTGTCATACATGCCAAGGTTTCACATACAAGCAGGTGCAATGATAAAACACCATTATCACATTACTTGCACTTTTTTAACCGGATGTTAAAGCCAGAGTTGACATATCGAAACACATATCAAAGAAACAATACGGTACCTGGAACTCTCCACTCTGTGTTCCAAATACATCTCCATACAGAGGTTTTCCAGTTTCATCCACAGGTGGCTTGCCCCATCCACCAGCATGGTACCCAAATGCACAAGCCTAAAAAGTAAATTTATGGGTCATTTTAATGACAGAACTAAATGAAAGTTGTTTGGAAATGTGAATTTCTTTTTCAAATCGACTCCTTTCTAATAGTGATAAGACAGCATGAAAAACACAATACTGAACGATATATATATATGTTATGTCTGTCAAGATATTCAATAAATATTCATTGACCAAATGAGTTTTGCAATGCCAATTTCTTCCCCAAGTCTTCCCCTCATGCCTGTATAATATAACTGAATGCATCTGCATACCTGTACTTAATTATCTTTCATTCTTTTTTCTTCTTAAGTTATTTACTATCTAGATTCCTAAAGAACCCTTACCTCTGGTATAGGTGCATTGAGTCCTGGCACCTTCAGATTGGGATAGGAGGGAGGTGGGCCATACCTCTGCATTGCAATTAGCCATGGAGGAGGAAACTTTTCAGAATTCTGAAAAATAAACATCTTTTATTTAAAGTGGGGACTAATATGATAGTAAAAATAAATCCATCAAATGTGTAATCGCTATTGCTATTACTACCAAGCAGAAAAATGATACATGAACTTCTAGTGAAAGCCTGAGCATGGTACAGAGTATCTTTAGTTATTAAAAAAAAAAACTTAATTATATCATGATACACAGATTCAATATATAAATAGCCCACATTCATGAACAATAAAGCCCCCAATTTCCAAGTGCACACTAAAGCCTTTGGCCCACAACAAAGTACTCCCAACTTACAGGTCCTATAGGCATTCCCAAGGCTGTTCTTAGTTCATCACTTAGGTTGCCTGGTTTCTTTTCTTTTAACCTCGTTTCAAACTCCTTTCCCTGAGAAATTATACAAACGTATGCTTAATTATTATGACAACAGGGTGTCTAACAAATAAAAAATGCACTCGCAGTATTAAATTGCAAGTACTTAATATTACATTAAATATATAAGATAGATATTTTTTCCTGGATCCATTTTCAAAGTTTTCTCTGAAGTTGCTTCTTTCATATGTAGAGTGCACTGTTTATATAAAATATAGAGCTAAATGTCACAGGTAAGACATGATTTCGATCATTTAAATTACTTGATATTAAGTTCTAAACCACGGCTGTCCCTTATTGTTGTTCATTACCTCATAATATAAATCCCCATGGATTGTCATCTTCGGCTTTGTTTGATACTTGAAAAAGGCATCATGAAGCTTCTGATAATCTATGTCAATCTTCCCCATCTTTGGTCGAACTTTTTCCCTCATTTTTGACTTTAATGTCTTCTGTTCTTCCTGGAAATTTATGTTTAATAAACAAAATGTTTGATTAATGGCTAAATATGCTTTTTTTACATTTTTCTCTCTCTTTTCAGTCTTGGCATAACTGTAATAAAAGATGTGATTGCTTCATTTTTATTTGGGCAACATGTAATTATTATTTCTTATTTATACAACACTCCAAATTCAAACTGTTCCAATAGCAAATGTGTACGGACACTACAAAAAGTATTATATTTTGATATGACCTAATTTTACCTTTTCTGCCAAAGCTGCTCTCATTTCCATAATGCCAGTGTTCTTAATGAAGTCTGGTAAATCAAATGGTGGCTTCTCTATACCTCTTTTACCTTGGAGGTACTTCCTTTTAAAACACCAGTGCCTAGGTACACTTACTGTATTCCTAGTAGCCTTGAAATATAAAAAGTTTGATTTAACAATGTAGGTTTATAATGAGATGGATTGAGGTTTACCCACACTTTTGTATACATAGTTTGATACAGAAATACAAATCCACAAAGTGCTCTTCTTTTAAAACTGTGTGTGCTAGTCACCCAGACACATTTTAAAAATAAAGTTCTTAAATCTAATACTGGACTTACAGTTAGTCTAATTGACAATGTTGCACTTCCCTCTCAGAGACTTCATACAGTTTAGTGTCCAATATTAGATTTAAGAACTTTATTCATGCTCTTCTTTTAATGCATATAGAACAACAAAAACATGATTTATAATCTAACAACTCAAAAATGGGTTTTGTCTTTTTCCCTCTTCAAAACCATATACCTTGAGTGAGAATAACCTTACCTTTAAACTGACTAATAATTTTGGGTCCTGAGCAGTCACATCATGCATTTCAACTAGATCAGGCCTGCTTACCAGCTAAAACAGAGTTAATGGCAAATGTACAGGGATTCTTGGAAAAAATTTGAATTCAAAGTTTGTAGCTTTTTTTTTTACTTTACTGCCTCCACTGTTGTAGAATATGTATGTCAACTGTAAATCTCAAAGAATACAATTAAAATAATTTTATTATCTATTATCTTAAATAAAAGACATACCTGTTTCAATTCTGCTACACTTAATCTGTTTAATTTTTTCATCTTTTTCTTGGAAAGTTTTGGTTTTTCTTCTTCTATTGGTGGCTCCTGAAGAGATTAAAATATTCAAAATTTAAACATCTAATCCAAGTTGTTCCTGACACAAACTTATGAAATTAAATGCCATTAACAATTTAATATATACATTTTGTTTCTTTTCAGTCATTATAAAGACAAACAATACATAAAACCAAAAGGACCAATTAAATATAAATGAACTAATATCCCCTTTTTGAGCTATATTATTTAGTACCAAAAATCTGTTCTTACCTCTTCCTCCATATCATGTAAATCCATAAGATGCTGCCCCTTAGTAATTGCCTCAGGTTCTTTTGCTCTGTCGTCTTTCTTCTCTTCAGTTTTTCCTACCTCCTTTGCTTTCTCAATCTCAGTAATCTGGAAGGCATTCATTTTTTTAGTTTTTTTTTTTACTTCTTTACATGGCATGTAAAGTAAACCTTTTGAGTTTTCTTATAATAGTAACAAGAGTTATTTATTTTTGAAATAATGTAAGGGATTAATTAAAACAGAACTGCATTTTACATACAACAAAACATATTTCACTTTAAACCATACACCCTGTTTATTATTCATATTTTCCAGTAAATTCACAGTATGTTGTAGGAATCTTACCTTGAAAGCTTCAAATATCTTCATAAAATCTCTGTAGCTTGGATCAGATGGATCAATATCTAACTGCTCTGGAATGTACCTGTAAAACAGAACCATCAATCACAAAAATATTCACTTTTCCAGCTAGAAAAATACTAGTCTGCAAATAGCAGAATAATTAAAATATCTTAGTTTTATACTAAAAATTACGTTAAAATTATTTCACAAATTTGCAAGTTTACAGATAAAAAAAAATGCTTTCTTTTAAAGTAAAAAAGCTACTGACTCAACAACTACATCATCATTGGGCGTTTCTTCTTGGTGAGCTTTATTTTGCTCCTGTTTCTGTTGAAATCTTTGCTTGGCTCGCCTCTTCTTTTTCTTCTTCTTTCTCTTGTTCTTGGACTAAATTAATGAATAGATATTAGTTTGAAGCAAAAAAAATCAAATCTACATTGTGCAAAAAGCAGAATACTATATCTAAAAATATCAAAAAACATGACATCTTTCAGATTTCCTCTTTAATTCCAACATTCTGCTCTTCAACAAATACACCACACCACCTTTACATCATATCAGCAAAATATTTTGACACAATCTTAATCTTAAAACAATGTACTTACTTCTTTCACTGTCTGTTGTTGTTCTATTCTAGGCGGTTCATCATCTTCATCTTCACCATAATCTTCATTGATGTAGTCTTCTGCTTCATATTCTTCTGAATAAAAAAAAAATAAGTAAGATGAAAAACATGAGCATCTTAACAGAATCAGAATTTTCAGGCTCTTGCATTCTGGGTCTTTGGTCTGTCAATCAAATGGTCATTGCCCGCAGTAAATACATATCCAAAATATCATTAGCAGATACAACTGTTGTATTTTGAGTTGTGTGTGGTATTTATAGTTAACTAACATAAATCAAAATCTACAATGTTTGTTGTTATTTGTTCACTCAGAGAAAATGAGGGAACCTATTTATAACAATCAAAACAAGTATATATTCTTGATATGGAACAATGGGAAGGCACTTTTTATTCTTTTTTATGCATACTAGTCCCCAATTTCTCAAGTTCTGGGATCTTGGATGTTATTGAAATTTGATTGGCTTGGTCTGATCTTAGCTAATAAAATTCAAAATAAGACCCAGCTGCAGGTTACAGGGTTATATATGAGAACAAGATTACTTTCAGCTGGAACAAAGCGCAGGGTAACTTGCTGTTGTTAAACTGTTTGACAGTCCCTTACCTTGCACTTGCTCCTCCTCTTCCATTTCCTCTGTGGTCACCCCTACCTGCTGTGCCCTCACATCTTTGAATGCTAACACCTTCTCCAGGGCTTGTGGCAATCTGATTTCTTTGGGCCTTTCCTCCTCCACCCGAGGTGGTGGCTGAAACGAACATAATAATAATAATAATAATAATAATAATAATAATAATAATAATAATAATATGCATATCTGCAGGGGTGAGCCTGGTGAGGAATAAAATAAATGGACACCCATGATGGTAAAATTAAAATATTTTGCATCTCGATGTGAATATTTCACAACTTTAGTGCTGGTTACATTTCTATTCACAATTTTAGAAATATATTGAAGAAATTCTGTATCAATCAATAATTTTCATTGAAAAATTTACTGTTAAAGTATTAATTATGGAAAATAGTTCTCATGTATTCTTAACTTGATGTATTAAGATTCAGTATATTTCAATTTAACTATAATAATAGAATATAGTATTATAATACTCAGCAAAATGTGATACATCATACTGATAATTATGTAATATGATGAAACATCTTAGACACATGTATTAATATTATAAAAAACCAGGGGCGGATCCAGAAATATTTTCCGACAGGCTTCCAGATTATCTTTATTGATCCATCCTCCATTTTTGACCGTCTTCCGACAGAAAAATTTAGATACCCGTCAATGTAAACTTGAAAATCTGACCGTCTTCCAGAAGATCCAGAAGATGGCCTAAATCCGCCCTTGAAAACTATATGTTAATCTATACCATTAAGGTATACCTATAAAGTTTTACATCATACCCTGAGTTCTTGTATCTGCTGAGTCGGTCTGGCAGGCTCTCCCATAAGCTGAGGAGGAGGTGGTGGCTGCTGTCTCTGTCCCTCTGGGCCCTCATCTCTCTCAAATCTTGGTGGAGGGCCGCCTACATTGGGTGGCATACCCGGGGGTGTCCCTTGGGGTACACCTTGTGGTAGGCCCTGAGGAGGGCCCTGTGGCATGCCAGGTGGAGGACCTTGCTGGAGACCTGGTGGAGGACCTTGTGGCATGCCCTGGGGTGGACCTTGGGGCATTCCCTGGGGCGGGCCTTGTGGCATACTTTGAGGGGGTGCTGGTGGCATACCTTGTGGTGGGCCTTGAGGGGGTGGACCTTGCGGAATGCCCTGTGGAGGGCCTTGAAGGGGTGGACCTTGTGGCATGCCTTGTGGAGGGCCTTGAGGGGGTGGACCTTGCGGCATACCCTGTGGAGGGCCTTGAGGGGGTGGACCTTGTGG